TGGTACGGTTGGATGGGGACTTTCTCAAGAAGATTATGGCCGTCACGAAAAAACACACAAGGTCAATGCAGGTTTGAGCACGGCGCGACGTTACTTGATGGGGCTGCAAGACAAGTTTGATGGCGTTCTGGCAGCCAAGAGGTTGGCAGGCAGGGTGGGTTGCCATGCGTGAGTTGTCACGCGTGTTTTTTTGTCACGCGCGAGTTGTCATGCATGAGCGTGCTGCGCTGTAGAGCGTGGAGGGTTGTTTGTGTTTTTGTGTTTTGCTGTTGGTCAGGCAAGCTCTGAGTGCAGACGTGACATGTGCAGATCTGTGTCTCTATGTGGTGGAAAAATGTGGAGCGGTTGCCATTTTGTGGAGTGATGGAGTGGTAGGGGTGTGTTTTTGGGAGACGATTTGATTTTGATGTTCTGAGAAAAAGGGGGGTAGGAGACCTGGGCGTTTATAGTGCATATGGGCGTTTGTACCAAATCGCAAACTTTTAAAAATACAGATGCTGGTCCAGGCTATTAGGTTGGAGGGCATCGCTATTAGATTCGAGGCCATCGCTATAAGATTGGAAGCCATCGCTATTAGGTCGGAGGCCATGCCAGGTTGGAAGCCATCCCTATTAGGTTGGAGGCCATCGCTTCTAGGTTGGAAGCCCATCGCTATTAGGTTGGAGGGCATCGCTATTAGATTCGAGGCCATCGCTATTAGCTTGGAAGCCATCGCTATTAGGTTGGAGGGCATCCCTATTGTATTCGAGGCCACCCCTATACTAGCTTGGAAGCCATCGCTATTGGGTTGGAGGGTATCACTGTTGGATTCGAGGCCATTGCCAGTAGGTTGGAGGCCATCGCTATTTGGTTGGAGGGCATCGCTATTGGACTCGACGAGGCCATCGCTACTAGGTTGGAGGCCATCGCTACTAGGTTTGAGGCCATCGCTACCGATCGCTGTAGGTTGCATGGAGTCCATCGCTACTAGCTTGGAGGCCAGCGCTACCGGCCAGCGGGCCATCACTATTGAGGCCATCGCTTTAGGTTGGAGGCCACTGGCCATCGCTATTAGTTTGGAGGCCATCACTTATATTGGCCACCCCTATTAGATTCGAGGCCAACGCCGCTATTGCTTTGAAGCCATTGCTATCAGGCTGGAGGGCATCGCTATTACATTAGATTTGAGGCTATCACTATTAGCTGGAAGCCATTGCTAGAGGCCATCGCTACTAGCTTGGAGGCCATCGCTGCAAAAGCTTGGAGGCCATCGCTACTAGAGCTATTAGCTTGGAAGCCGTCGAATTATATAGGTTGGAGGCCATCGCTATTAGAGTCGGAGGCCTCGTTGCTGGCTTAGAGGCCATCGCTAGTAGGTTGGAGGCCATCGCGTTTCCGTTGGAGGGCTTCGCTATTAGGTTGGAGGGCATCGCTACTAGATTCGATATAGCTTGGAGGCCATCGCTCATAGGTTGGAGGCCATCGCTACTAGCTTGGAGGCCAACTATTGGCCGTCACTATTAGCGAATCATTATTAGCTTAGAGGCATCGCTACTAGCTTGGAGGCCAGCGCTATCAGGTTGTGGCCATCGCTATTAGCTTGCAGGCCATCACTACTGGCCATCGCTATTCAAAGGAAGTTTAGGGCGCAAAACTTCCGTGTTATGGACTTTCAACAGCTACTACTACTACTACTACTGCTACTACTACATACCATTACAAACTACGACATACTGCTACATACTTCTGCATACCACTACATACCACTACATACTACTACATACTACTACATACTACTACATTCTACTACATTCTACTACATACTGCTACATACTGCTACATACTACTACATACTACTACATACTACTACATACTACTACATACTACTACTACTACCACTACTACTACTACTACTACTACTATCACTACTACTACTACTACTACCAACAACAACAACTACTACTCACAACAACAACAACAACAACTACTACTACTACTACTACTACTACTACTTACTACTACATACTACATACTACTTACTACATTCTACTACATACTACTACATACTACTACATACCACTACATACTACTGCATACTACTACTACTACTACTTTTACCACAACAACAACAACAACAACTACTACTACTACTACTACTACTACATACAACTTACCACTTACTACATACTACATACTACTTACTACTTACTACATACTACATA